TCCCTTGACTTGGAAACTACGGTTCTATTAAAATAGGCTAAAATGGTATTGGCCTACTTTGCTGCAGCATCACACCGCTGGGTCATTCTTGCTTCTATTATCCGTACATCGCAGTGACAGTGAGGTCTTTTTCCCAGTGTTGTTTTAGAGATGTCCAGGAGAGCATTGGTAGCATAAAGGAAGGATCCTAATGTTCAAACAAAATCTACCCTCATGTTATTTAAAACCATTAGTCCTGGTTCCATCTTCTGGGGCAGCAGAGAAGAACCCTTCTCCTTCTTCTCTGTGACATTCCTTGCGGTATTTAAAAAGTGTGATAATAGTCTTCTCTCCACCAAGTGAACAAACCCAGCTCCTTTCCTCATATCTTTTGTTCTTCATCCTTGTACCCCTTCTCCGAATCCATTTCAAATTGTCTCTATCCTTAAAATGAGGTGTCCAGAACTGAACTCAGGACTCCAGATGAGGCCTGACTAGCTCAGAATATAGTGGGATTAATAACCACCTCAACTTGAAAGCCAGGCTTCTATTAATGCAGGTTAACATAGCATTTGCCTTCTTTGCTGCAGCATCACACTGCTGGCTCATGTACAATTTCAGATAAACAACCCCAAGTCCTTTTGGCATGTAGTACTGCTGAGCCATGTCTCCTTCATGCTATACCTGTGCATTGGGTTTTTGTGGCCTAAATGTTGAATTGTGTATTTGTCTGTATTAAATTAAATTTTATTACAGTAGGCCCTTGGTATCTGCTGGGGCTTGGTTCCAGGACCCCCATGGATACCAAAATCCGTGGATGCTCAAGTTCCATTAAATACAACCGCAGAGTAAAACGGTGTTCCTTGTATAAAATGGCCAAAGCAAAGTTTACTTTTTGGAATGTATATATATATTTAAATATTTCCAAACTCTGGATGCTTGAATCCATGGATAAAAAAATCCACGGGTATGGAGGGCTAACAGTAATTTCTGCCCAATTTTCAAGTTTATTTAGGTCCCTATGAATTCTGTTCCTATTTTCCAATGTGTCCTTGAAGTAAACCAAGGACAAAGGGGGAAAGCGGGAAGAGGAGAGAGAAGCCGGGACCTTTGAAAAGCAGCTGAAATAGTGGGACAGCAGAGGAGTAATGGGAATTGTCCCTGCCAAACTGGGACAGTTGGAGGGTATGGCGACAGTGCGGATCCACTCTAGTGTGTGTAAAAAATGCCTGGCACAAAATTGTGTGTGTAAAAATGGTCAATCCAGTGGGTCTCCCAGAGCAAAGAGGATCCAAGAGTTAATCTCTCAGCTTGACAGCAGTGCTGGTATTTGGCATAGTCGGCCTTTTGCCCCACTGGCTAAATCTGTAAATCAGATCTTGTAAGATCTCCTTGTTTCTTAGGCTAGATTAGGGATATCACATGCCTGGCTGCTCCTTTGCTGGGTGGTCAGTGGACAGAGTTAAAGGCGGATTAACTCCCGGAGCGGCTGGCATTGTCAATGGCCATTGAGCCAAGGAAGGAGAAGCTGTAACCCCTCTCCCCCATCTCTGCCCCACTCCCCATCACTCAGTTACAACTCCAATATCCATGGATTCAAGCATCCATGGCTTGCAAATATTTTAAAAATATATAAATTCCAAAAAGCAGATGTTGATTTTGCCATTTTATAGAAGGGTACACCATTTATATAAGAGTCAGTGTGGCCCAGTGGTGTGAGTGTTGGGTTATGACGGGGGGGTGGGGGTGTCAGGGTTCAATTCCCAGCTCAGGCATGAAACCCACTGGGTGACCTCCTCAGGCAAGTCACACTCTCTCAGACTCAGGGGGAGGCAATGGCAAACCTCCTGGGAACAAAACTTGCCAGGAAAACCCATGATAGGGTGGCCATACGTTGGAAATGACTTGAAGGCACACAACACATACTCTGCCATTCTATTTAATGGGGCTTGAGTGTCCATGGATATTGGTATCCACTGGAACCAAACCTCAAGGGATACTAAGGGCCTACTGTAATAATAATAATAATAATAACAACAACAACAATAATAAGCCCATTGTATATAATGGGTCTTGAGCATCCATGTATTTTAGTATCCACGGGTGTCCTGAAACCAAACCCCAGCAGATACCAAGGGCCTACTTAATAATAATAATAATAATAATAATAATAATAATAATAATAATAATAATAATAATAATAATAATAATAATAATAATAATAATAATAAATCCCTATTGTATTTAATGGGACTGAGCATCCATGGGCGGTCCTGGATCCAAAGCCCAGCAGATACCAAGGGCCTACTGAATCATCATCATCATCATCATCTCTATTGTATTTAATGGGACATGAGTATTCACAGATTTTGGGATCCATGGAAGGTCCTGGATCCAAACCCCAGCAGATCCAAAGGATGCCTCCTCCATTGCCTCTTCCCTGAATTGAAAGAAGGAAAAACAGCCTTGGAAGAAACCAGGGGTGTGGATTTGTGGACATCAGGAGACCAAGGCTCAACTCAGCTCTGGGTTGCTTTGGGCAAGTCGCTCCTTTCTCTCAGCCTCAGGGGAAGGCAATGGCAAACCCTGGAAGGAATCCTGGTAAGAAAACCCCAGGAGAGGTACTTGACAACAAACTTCTTTGGAGTTTTAAAAATAGAATCTGGATGACCATCCGTCAGGAGTGCTTTGATTGTGAGTTCCTGCATGGCAGAATGGGGTTGGACTGGATGGCCCTTGGGGTCTCTTCCAACTCTACGATCCCATGATTTCTATAATTCTAATCCTAGAGTTGAAAAATGGTGAAGGGTCTGGAAACCATGCCCTATGAGGAACAACTTAGAGAACTGGGTATGTTTAGCCTGGAGAAGAGATGGCTAAGAGGGGACATGATAGCCATGTTTAAATATATGAAGGGATGATATCAAATATTTGGATGCAGCAAGCTTGTTTTCTGCTGCTCCAGAGAATAGGACATGGAGCAATGGATGCAAAGTGCAAGAAAAGAGATTCCACCTCAACATTAGAAAGAACTTCCTGACAGTGAGAGCTGTTTGACAGTGGGACATGCTTCCTCGGAGGGCAAGAGTCTCCTTCTTTGGAGGTCTTTAAACAGAGGCTGGATGGCCACCTGTCAGGGATGCTTTGATTGAGAGTTCCTGCATGGCAGAATGGGGTTGGACTGGATGGACTTTGGGGTATCTTCCAACTGTACGATCCCATGATTTCTATAATTCATCCCTTCATATATTTAAACAGGGCTCTCATGTCCCCCCCTTAACCTTCTCAGGAACCAGACTCCTTTAAGAAAGAAGCACAGCAACACAACATCAGGCAACTACTCTGGACTCGAAGCACTCCAAAATTTTTGTTTGTTTATTAGTTTATTGATCAGTTGGTGAACAATTGTATTGTCACTTATTCCTGCTCCTTTTTTTAAATATAAGGGTAGAGGCATCTGCCCCCCATGTAACCTTCAGCTGCTTAACAGATGGGGATAAGCAACTGTTGGAGGTTTTGGTCTAGCCCCCCTGAGGAGACCTTATACCCTCCAACTGTCCCAATTTGACAGGGACAGTCCAAGTAATCCTCTGCCTTCCCACCTTTTCAGCTGCCTTTAAAATGTCCTGGTTTCCCTCTCCTCGTCTCCCTTCATCCCCAGCTTACA